TGCAGACGGCGTTTGCAGTGATGATGAACCCCTATATATAACATAAATTATTCGCAAACCCTAATGGTCCCAATAAAGTGGGGATGAGGTGGCGGTTGAGGTCGCAGAGCAAAACACTCGGTAATTAAATCTTTTCCTGTGGGGGTGAAAACAAAAACCTGAGGGACCGACCGATACGAATGGATGCCCACTTTAATCTTGATGTCATTTTGATTCCGCCTCCAAACTAATTAAGAGAATTACCATTAAAAACTACTCCCCCGGAATCGCTTCCTCGTTTATTCATGATTTATGGCGTTTAGTGGGCTGCAACTACAACCTCATCCAACTCGTGCAGAGTATTTTTTCTCTTTATATCTTCAGCTTTTGGTTTTGTTGGCCATCATCATCATCCGCCCTATATGGAAATGCGTATTCGGTTTAAAAACGTTCATCCATCATCCCTGCCTCCCTCGCCCTGCTCCTCGAGGATGGATCGGATATAAAGTCCCTCTCTGCCTTCGTATGATAAATTCAGTAAATGTTGAGTGAACACACGGCGGCGCCCAGGACTTTCGAGGAGCAGGATTATTTGACCATCCTGGAATAATCGTGATCTATTGCCGAAGGACGTGCCGAGCCAAACGCCCTGTCAATCTCGGTAGACGGGAGCGATTTTTACGCATTTTCCGAAACAAACCGCACCGGCTTTTCCGGTAATTGAAACTTAGTGAAGTTGCAACGAAACACGTCGGATCTGGTTTACTGTAAATTCTACGATATTGAAAAAGTTCCTTTTTCTCATCGGAAACAATTTATTACTTTCTTTCACAATATTTATTAAAATTATTAATTGATTGTTTTAATTATAATCATATTATAATCGAAACAAACATAATCTGTATTCATGATCATAAATATATCTAAATCTATAAAAAATCTAATACAAAATAATTTAAAAAAATGCTTCAGAATGACCCACCTGATATTTGTTTTCATTCGCATACTATTGTAATTTAATTATGTGTCTTGACCTTTTAGCTATTCCAATATATAGTAGTGCGCATTCCAGCAAGAGCATAGTAATAGCGTCAAGAGGATTTTATTGTAGTGTATTTCGGGTCAAAGTGACCCATATATAGCAAATACGTTGTCATCAACATTTGGATTTCAAATTGGAATAACTTTGGTTTCATACTGTTTTGAGCAATAAAGTCAGTTTTAAATGATGACAAACTCATTAAATAATAAGTATTAACCCGTTTTTGTTGTAAAAATATAATAATTTATTCTATTTCTGTTAATATTTCTTAATCGGGTCATTTTGACCAATAGGTAGTACTTGCGTTTTATTTATTTGTCCGTATTAGTTACGAGTTCAAATAAAACTTAAAATTCCTTTTTTTTTTTGTAAGAACTATACTTGATTACTTTTATGATTGGTTCAATCACTACGAATGTATTATATTATTTAACATATTTATATCATTATAATCGTACTATAAAATGTAATCATTTTTAAATATTTCAATAAACAGAACTATGGATAAAAGTAATTTAAATTGTTCGATTTTACTCGTATTTTTCAATATAGAAAAATTTCTGTTAATATATATAAATATTAAATTAAATTGACAGAGTAAAAAATGAAGGAAATGGTTTTATTAACCGAAGGAAACAAGACGGATTTTCTTTGTGCACGAAAATTGTGCCGCGAGAGCTCTATTATACTTTACTGTGATTTTACTGTTTCTTTTTTTTTGGTATGTTTATTTTTGCTCTCAACAGTCAACTCTGTACTTGCATTTTTATTTGTTGTTTTTTTACTAATCTTTGTTGGAAGAGTTCGGAGGGCAATGGAAGAAAAGGGGACACGGGATGTTTGTTTTCCGATGCGAAGAAAGTATCCATCAAGGATAATTAGAACTGTTTTTGAATGGCACGAAGCCTTTAGTCCCTACTCTCTCTCTTAACTGGCGTTGGTGGAGGAGAAGGAGAAAAAGGACGAGGAAGTTGAGGAAGGCCTCACTGAAAAGAGGATGCAACGTTTTAAGGACAAAAGGCCGCAGATGATGTTCCAGTTCCGACGGAAACCGATCTCAGACTCCTCACAAAAACAGAAGACAATGAGCTCAGCATTATTCTCCGCCGGTTCTCTCTATATAAACAACACACACGTATATATATATAGATATAACGTCGATGCATGAACCATATATACCCAGTTTAATCCCCATTTCTTTTAGATTTAATCAATAAGATTTTATATATTTCAAAATATATTTTATTATTAATAATTCACAAATTAATTACCTTCCAAAAACATTCACCATAAAATAAGCATAAATATAACTTTTTTTTACTTTTCTGGGTTTAATATACTTCATGATATCATTTTTCTTAAACTAAACTAAACATATTCAATATTTGTCTTTATATCAATTCAAATCTTCTATATTAACCCGACACATCCACCATGAAACAACAATAAGAAAACAACTTTTCAATTGTTATTTTATTTATATTTAGCGGTTTGATATGTTTCATACTATAATTTTCATTAATACTATACAAATTTAACTCAAAATGTGAAATATTTGTCTTTAAATTAATCCAAATCTTCTATATTAACCACATCCACCATTAAATTAGGTTTTTTCCCATTTCTTTTATATTGTCAATACAATTTTATATATTTGAAAATATATTTTATTATTAATAATTCACAAATTCAACTCAAAATATTAATAATTACCTTCCAAAAGTATTATTTCCAAAAACATCCACCATAAGCATAAATATAACTTTTTTTTAGTTTTCTGGGTTTATTGTAATTCATGATATCATTTTTCTTAAGCTAAACTAAAAATATTCAATATTTGCCTTTATATCAATTCAAATCTTCTATATTAACCCGGCACATCCACCATGAAACAACAATAAAAACACAACTTTTCAATTTTTATTTTATTTATATTTCGCGGTTTGATATGTTTCCTACTATCATTTTCATTAATACTATACAAATTTAGCTCAAAATATGGAATAGTTGCCTTTCAATTAATCCAAATCTTCTATATAAATCACATCCACAATAAAACTTTTATTTTTTGCTATTGGCTATTCAATGTATTTAATAATATCATTTTTGTTAATAATTTACAAATTGAGCTAAAAATATTCAATATTTACCTTTAAATTCATTAAAATCCTTTATATCTAAAACAACAAGAAAGATTGTACATTTTTGTTTTCTATAAAGTAGAATTTTCATATTTTTCACAAAAAAATAATCAAAAAAATCAACATTTTTTCTTTTATTCATCGAAATTTTGCCTTTAATATAAGCATTGATTTACTACATTTACCCAGCGCATCCATCATCAAACAACCATTGAACTTTTACATTTTTTTTGTTGTTTTGTCATCATTATTAAAGACATCACTCCAAAATTTTTAGCTCCAACCCCAGTGACCTAAACTACATACCATAGCTTTTTTTCAGTTCAGTTCTCTATTATTTTATATCCTGCTCTGTTCTGTTGTTTTGTTTTATTTTGTTTCATCTTGTATTTTTGTCCTACTATTAGTTCTGGTTTGTATGTTTCGCTCTATTCTGCCCTGTTCATTTGTGTTTTTATTCTATTTTGTCTCATCCTGTATTTTTGTTATACTATTATTTCTATTTTTTGTATCAAACTGTAAACCTCTGAATGCGCAAGAGGCTAAAGCTCATACCGATCTCCAATAATATGTAAGCTATTATAATATTAATAAAGTGTATTAAATCCGAATCATTATACAAATTTAACAACAAATAGAATGTTTATCAAAATTTTAAATTTGCACACAAACTTAAAGTGTTAAAACACAATTTTTCCACCTAATTTTAACTTATATAGTACAATTAAATTACAATGTTCATTGAACCCATAACATTAAAATTTGGTATTGAATGAACATATAATGAATAAATATAACAAAAAAATTACGTATACAAAAAGCTATTGACCACTCTATTTTAACTTATTTACTACATTATATAATAATCAACTTTTTTCTATTATACAATATACAAATGAATTGTATATTGCAATTTACAATGTGAATTAAAGTCACAAAATTAAAATTTGTATTGAATGAAAATGTATTGTATAAATATAACAAAAAAATACGTATGCAAAAAGCTATTGACCATAGTTTTTCAACTCAATTTTAATTTATTTACTACATTATATAATAATCACCTATTTTCTTTTATTTTATATACAAATTAACTTTAAATTACAATTTAAAATATTCATTAAAGCCACCAAATTAAAATATGTATTGAATGAAAATATATTGTAACTTATTTTCTATATTACATAATAAACATTTTTTTTTGTATATATATAAAACGCCGTTCGTTATAGAATCAAAACAATTTTACAAATTTATTAATTAAAAAAACATATTAAACTATTATGTATGGAGCAGAAAATCTACAGTAAATAACTCTTTGTATGTATATAGGAACAATAAATTATGTTTGTTAAAATTCTTCTATTTTATACTTTTATATATGTATTAATTTTTATATTATAATAAATATAATTTAATAGTGATGATCCAAAATGCATGTACTTGTTATAACAATAGTTTCAAAAGCTAAAGTCTATTGTCTGCTTCGAAGCTTGTATTAATCGTTGATGTTTACATTTACATTCGCTATTCCGCTTTGCTTCTAATTAGTTTTACGGTATGAATTGTAGTTAATTTATATAAAAAGCAACTTTTAATTAGGTACCGACTGCTCCGGAATTTAATTGGATATTATCAATTTATAAATTACGCAAAAGAATGAAAGAGACTGGAAAAACAGTGAAGAGAGAGAGATGTAACGTAATTAGTTTTTCCACCTCGGGCGATGAAACAAGTTATTCCATGAAACAATATGATTCATTATTTCATCCCTTGAAAAATCGCTTCGTTTTATATAGAAAGGGAATAATTTGTAATATTTTTGTTACAATTCTTACCTGGATGTGAGCAGTAGCTGAGACACAACATAAAAATCCAGAACGCCATGGCTTATGAATGTATTATGCAGATGTATATACGCTGCGTGGATTGCTGTACGATGCTGATGGTATATATAATACTTTTTTTTAATAACAAATTTCACACGATCACATTTTTTCGAACATTCAAAAAACAATCACTGTGCCGCACAATTTCAAGTATTTCCAATCACTTTGCAACATGTTCCTTTCAGATTTCCAATTGAAAAAAGTAAATTTAAAACTCAGTTGTAAATTTGATTTGTATTTTTTTTTGTTGTTGTTGTTGATTTGAAGAGCGCGTCTGAAAACGTCGTCTGAAAGTTTTGAGGTCGTGAAGCTCTCGCGCGGTCTTATTTTAAAAACATTTTCGTACGCTCGGAGGACTGAAACGCGGCTGAAATACAGAAGGGATTTGCTAGCTGTGCGCGCGTTTAGCGCCACCCTGAAAGTGACGGGGACCTGCTGAAGCGGCTTCAGCGAGTGCGCAGATTACCGAATCTATACTCAACCATAAGTAAAAGCCGTGTGCGAAGGGTGAACGAGACGTGAGAGAGAGAGTTAAAAGAGGAAATAAGAAAGTTGAAAAAAAAAAATATAAATAGAAGGAAATAATATACAGTCTATTGTGACAAATGAATTAGCGAATGAACTGAAGTTATCTCAAACATGTCACTTCAGTGGAAGCCGAACGGATTCCGCATGGTCGGTGTTTCAGTTCCGATTCGTGAATTTATACACAGCGTCGCATAAATATGAACTGCCTCGACTCTTTTTTTTTAATGATGATCCCCTTTAATGGGGATTTTCCTCCGATATTAACGCCTCCTGATTAATTGATCATTCGCTCTTTAAACTTCCGCAACTCGATCAAATCCATCAAGCCGGAATCATCCCTTCTAATTAACAACGGAAGAAACCACAAGATTCATAACAAAGCAATCTCAATACTAAATACATTTACAGTTTTAGTATCTATTTAAACAGTATGGTTATTTCATTTCAACGTACTTTTGCAGCAATTAACTTTTTGTTTTATTATTGTTATTGTATCAAGAGGATTTGTTTTTTTTTATTTTGGCAATAAAGATTGTTATTAGTAATAACCTTATAAATAATTTGGATCTAAAATTACATGACTTTTCAAAAATAGCGCCGTAACATAATTGCGACAATTAAAGCGCACAGGACAAAAGCACGCAGCAAAACATCCACGTCAACTACACGAGAATTATTACTATGTATTTCTTAAATACATCCAAAACCAAACTCCCCGAATCTAAGGCACTAGATGTATGTAGTTTTTGTTGTTGCGCCCTTTCGAATACGAGCTTTTGTCGGCACGCTGTAGTCTAGTCACCTTTAATAAGAAAACATGTATAAGTGTATGTGAAACAAATCTCAAGAATAATTTAATTAAAGAATATCGTCATATTTTTATAATAAACTTACATAGAAAAATATGGTTATTTCAGTAATTTCTTCGATTTTTATTCCCTTAAACTTCCTACAAATGGTCAATAAAAAACCAAGAAATAAATAAATTTTAAAGTTATATGATTTGGTTTTATAATTACAGTAATTTTTTTATACAATTTTATACAATTTTTTTTATACAATTGTCAATAAATATATTTTCAATAACTTACTATAAAAATATACTTACTTGAGTGATTTCTTATAAAAACATTTCATTTGCAAATTCTCTTTTATACAATTAAAGACAAAACTAAATAACACAGGAAAAAATGATTCATTTAGTAAATTTCTTATAAAAAACTATACCTTTTATCAATTTAAAATAATAGTCAATAAGAAAGATATGAACTTTAATACAATTTCTTAGTAAATATATACACAATTTGAATAAAAAAGATGAAGTTGATTACAGTTATTTCTTTATTGTTCTTGTAATAAAGGATATCGTTTTTAAACTTTCATAATTTTTAAATAGTAAAACCGAAAAACATTACTAGAATACAAGAATGTTTGCATTTATTTCTTAAAATTTTGCAACAAAAACGATATTTTCTTAACATCAGTAAAATGAAAGTATATTAATGTGTAAAAACATATCAACATTAATATAATTGATAACTATTTTCCAAAAACAAAAAAAAATATTTGATTTATAAATTATTTTACAATTACTTTTAAACTGTAAATTTTCATAGCACGATTCTGAATCCTGCATTTTACGAGTGAACTATATTTGAAAACTAAGAGGATTATTCGAATAATATTGTTTATGTATTAAAATTTAAAGCAAATCATCTAAAAAAATATAAATTTATTCTTGAAAATAATAATTACACAATGTAACTGAGTTGTAGGTTAATTCAAAAATGTAGTAGAAAATGAGTTACTAAAACCCCAAAGCCATTGAAAGGAATTAAGGCTGTTTTAGTTAATTGAGTAATCCAAGTAATCGTCGTTTTTTTATACACGTTCTATTTTATTTTGTATGTTTCTTTGTTTGCATTCTCTTTTAATATCCATGCTACAATTGTTATTTTTACAATTATACCTTGTAATTTGGCTTTGCGCCCTTTTTACGTTTATATGCAACAGGATAAGTGTACGAGCTCAGTTAGTGAGAGCGAGGGGCCACCCCCAAAGTTAATTACCTTTCGGACATTAAGGTCTGTTGCCTGAACAGACGTTTCTGTTTTGCCTGGCCTAAAGCTGTACAGCACCCTCGAATTCCTCCTCTGCATACCTAACCTAACCTACTCCACCTACACACACACACCCCTTCAGAAACAAGGGCGAAATTATAATTTTCTACATTGCCTTAATTCCGCTGAAATTTTCTCACTTCCACATGTATCCTAGACTATTAAGTGTAACAGAACCCTTGATTCCAGTTAGTAAAATACATGGAGATGTTCAAGTCCCTGTTAATTATATAAATAACGTAAATTGTAAATGTTTTAGACGAAATTATTGATGTTTTTTTTTTATAATTTACCATCTCCAAAAGACTAGTGGCTCCTCGCTAAGAAGTTATATTTGATGACCTACAAAGTGGCCATGCACAGTTTTATGTATAAGAGCTTGGGCGGATATATCCGCCGCTTGTCCGAAAATTGATTAAACTTACTTTCAATTTAAAAAATATATATTTCACAACATTTATCAAAATAAATAAGATTACAACATGTAATATTTTCACTAATAAGTAATGGAACATGAAGTAATTGAAGTGAATTTGTTTTAACAGAGTATACTTTTAATATCAATTTCTAGCTGTGAATTTACAATTGTGCAACTAATGAAAATATAAATAAAAGTGGAGCAAAACGCAAAAAAACAAAGCCAAAAAAAAAAATATACATAAAAAACTACCCTCACTAAAGCTAGTTTATTTTTTCGAAAATTTTGCGTTCACTCCAATGTTTGTAATTTTAATTTGTGCACTACTCTCTCACTATTCGCCCGACGTGTATTCAATATGTATTTCATTTGAAAAAATACTCAGGTTTTGTGCACGAGAGAACTCATTGTGTGCATATTCATATGCCCTTTTTTTCTGTTATTATTGTTGTTGTTTTCAACTACACTTTTTTTTTTCCACTTATTGTTTTCAGTACGTTTTGGTATCATTTTCCAATTGAATCACATGTTACGCTCAAATCTATATTTGAACGTAGATTCATTTATAATTGATTTTCTCAAGAGTACATTAATATTAGGTAAATTAAATTGTAAGAAGCTTTCATTCATTTTTTACAATTTTTTTCGTTTTTGCAAGGAATAAGAAAGATAATTACGAACGGAATTGTTTCTTTTTTTTGTGTTTGCCGGAACGAATCCGGAAAAGACGATTCCCCGTTTTAATTTCACCCCAAATTTGCTGCGATCCCCTACGAATTGACGAGGGAAGGAGGGTGGTTTTAGGGGATGAAAGGAAGAGAAAAGTGGCGGAAGTGGCCTTTGTTTCTTCCATTAAAAATAAATTTCATGTCGTGTACATTTACTTTTTATTTATTTAAAAGAAATTGAATATTAGAGCAAAGAGAAATATGTATAGAAAAAAAAAATGAATTTAATTCTAAAGCAATCAAAAAATCTCTGTAATATTATTTATTCTTTCTAAAGATTACATAAATATAATTATGTAACATTTATAATTCAATAAATTGAAACGAAACCAAAAAAAATCATTGAGTATATCAATTTTAATCCAGATGGGTCAGAGTGACTAGTTAGAAGGTCACTCCATTATTATCCGGTGAATTTTTCAGTAGGAACTAAGCAGTCACGGCGAAAGGTAATTATTTTATTGTAGAGTGTATTTTGGGTCAAAATGACCCACCTACTTTCTAATACTTCTGACAGTATGCACCACACTTGAGCAATTAAATCTGTTTTCAATGATGTTAAATTCATTAAATAATACTTAATAAAAGGGTTATTTTGACCCATAGGTAGTATTTGCGTTTTATTTGTCTGTAGTGTTATTTGTTACAGGTTACATAGTAATGAACTCAGTAATGATTTATCATTTATATAGGTCAAAATGACCCATCTACGTTCTAGTATTTCTGAGAGTATGCACTACACTAAAAATCTAAAAATCTAGATTGTTTTAAGCAATAAATGTGTTTGAAATGATGTTAAGTTCATTAAATAATAAGAAATAATCAATAGTATGTTCTAGTTTTAAAATACTTAATAAAAGGGTCATAGGTTAATAGGTTACCTATAGTAATGAACTCAGTAATAATTTATCATTTATATAACAAAACTGTTGAATAAAATCGAAATTTAAAAATTCTAATTTTACAATTTTTTATTAATAAATTTTCAATATTTTCGATATTTATAAATTTGAAAAAAAAACATATCGATATGTAACAGAACTATATGAAAGAATAAAACACAGATTGAAAAACTCAATTTTTTTGAGTTTTTTTTTAAATATTTTCATTTATTCTGAGATCTATTGATTTGAAAAAAAAAACAATAATTACTACATGAAATAATAATGTAATTGTAATGAAACCAAAAAAAAATTAATGAAATAAAAAAAAACTCAAATATATTTACTGAAAAACTACAAATTTTAGCAAACGCAATAAAAATGTAAGTAATATTAATGAAATATTAACAGAGTAATTGAAAATGAGAGGGAAAGTAAGTGGAACGAGTTAAATTAAATAAAACGTCCTAAGCAAATAGCTGTTAGATAAAGTTTCAGTTTGTCAGCTCTTTCGGAGGACTCGTTTAACCGATCTGCCAAAACCTTGAACCCATTTCTCTCGATTTAGTTTGTTTTTTTCGTTCGTTCTGGCCTTCCACAACCGCAGAACGGTTCGACCTAGACGCACGTCATCTGAACGCTGTCGTATTGATGCAAATAACACACAAACAAAAAATAACAAACAAAACGTTTGAATTATCTGCTTTACCGATGTATTGATTTACACTG